ATTTTGAACATTTTGGGTCTGGATAAATATACATCTGCTTAAATTGACAAGAATAAAAAATATTAGTCATTATCACACATTTATTCTTGAAGTGTTTTGCAGGTACTACCTCTTCAGAAAGTGACCAGCAAGACATGTCTTCCAGAAAGATAAAACCATTGTTACAGGCATGTGATGAGTTAAGGAAAGACCTCTCAGTGATAAACATCAATGTCCATGTAAGTTTTCAAAATGAGGATTGCTTAATTTTTATTGGAATGAAGTATTGTGCTTACCAGTGTAATTTTTCAAAAAGAAGATTGCTTAATTTTCACCAGACTCAACTGCTGTACTGACCCATGTAATTTAAAAAATTTTTAAAATCCAAGCATTTAAAAAAGTTGTACTGTTTATTGATGTAAAACTTTTATGTGAATGTTCATGCATTTAAAAGTTTTACTTTGACTTGAGCACCATTGTGAGTGCCTACTATAATCACTTGCACTGCTCATTTATCATACTCTCCTATTACACACTTCATATGATGGAAATAGTACTTTCTGAAAAAATGGTTGATATGGAGGATTGAAAAAACTTAAAGTAATAGCAATTGCCCCATCATTATATTGTTGATTTTTGGTACCTAATCTGCTTTTATATTTTATTACCTTTATCTTTTATTTCATAAACCATTCACAGTTTAAACATCTTTACTTGTTTCAGGTTTTACTACATATTTACATTTATTTGAAGAATTTATTTTCCAGAAGGTGTTTTCTGGACTTCTCGATTATTTTGAGAACTTACCTTTTAATTGTTGTTAAGTGTCCAATATTGTACAGTACCAAAGTGATTTGTGTCATCTGTTGTGTCACCAACCACCATGCTTATGCAATACAATAAGTGCTTTATATTGTCTGTTGTCACCAATCACCATGCATATGCAATACACTAGTGCTTTATGTTGTCTCTTGTTACCAACCACCATGCTTATGCAATACACTAGTGGTTTGTAATGTCTGTTGTCACCAACCACCATGCTTATGCAATACAGTAATGCTTTATGTTGTCTGTTGTCACCAACCACCATGCATATGCAATACACTAGTGCTTTATGTTGTCTGTTGTCACCAACCACCATGCATATGCAATACACTAGTGCTTTATGTTGTCTGTTGTCACCAACCACCATGCATATGCAATACACTAGTGCTTTATGTTGTCTCTTGTTACCAACAACCATGCTTATGCAATACACTAGTGGTTTGTAATATCTGTTGTCACCAACCACCATGCTTATACAATACACTAGTGCTTTATGTTGTTTGTTGTCACCAACCACCATGCTTATGCAATACACTAGTGCTTTGTTTGTTATCACTAACCACCATGCATGCTTATGCAATATACTAGTGCTTTATGTTGTCTGTTGTCAACAGCCACCATGTTTATGCAATACATTAGTGCTTTATGTTGTCTGTTGTCACCAACCACCTGCTTATGCAATGCACTAATGCTTTATGCTGTCTGTTGTCACCAACCACCATGCTTATGCAATGCACTAATGCTTTATGTTGTCTGTTGTCACCAACCACCATGCTTATGCAAAGCACTAGTGCTTTATGTTGTCTGTTGTCAACAGCCATCATGCTTATGCAATAAACTAGTGCTTTATATTGTATGTTGTCACCAACCACCACGCTTACACTAGTGCTTTTATATTGTCTGTTGTTACCAACCACCATGCTTAAGCAATACACTAGTGCTTTATATTGTCTGCTGTCACCAACCAACATGCTTACACTAGTGCTTTATGTTGTATGTTGTCAAAAGCCATCATGCTTATGCAATAAACTAGTGCTTTATATTGTATGTTGTCATGAACCATCATGCTTACACTAGTGCTTTATGTTGACTGTTGTCACCAATCACCATGCTTATGAACTAGTGCTTTTTTTATCTTTTGTGACAACAACAGAAGTGAGGACTGTAATACATCTGGATGTAGACCATTGTATGATAGTTGACTAAATGTTGAAAGTATGCAACCCTCTTTCGTTTTCTCTCTGGTGTACCTTGGTGTCACCATTACTTTTATTTTGTTTTAATTTATCCCCAGCACAATAGGGAGTGTAGTCAAAAATAAAATGTACTTGAAATGTGTGGATGAAGCAGAGCAGCTGGTTTAGACTGAGACCGTTTTAAGCTGAACAAATGTGTAGCATTCATGTACTTGCAAAGCAGATACAGTTAGGAAACAATAAAAATATGATTGTTGTTGTTATGATTATTATTATTATTATTATTATTATATTATTATTATTATATTATTATTATTATTATATTATTATTATTATTATTATTATTATTATTATTATTATTATTATTATTATTATTATTATTATATCTCTTTTTGTTCATAGGATTATGGTCAAGAATCATCATGGAAACTGTTGGAGGGTCACTCAACTTCTAAAATAAAAACTTCTTCAGTCCCAAAGAAAAAGAAAGAACAAGCTGGAAGTTGACAAAATTGAGAACTCTTAGTAACATTTAATCAGTCATGTCTTATGTGCCATTGGCTAAAGAGAAGCTAAATGTGCGCATAAAATGGGAGATAATGGAACAGTTTGGAAAACAATGGGGATTGGAAATGATTACTGTAGAATTTACCATAAAAAACATCAGGAACGCTTATTTCATGTAGCTGATGTAATAAAAAATTTGATTCACTAGTTTGCACACTGTAAAAAAGAACCAATAATAGTCTCTGGCAATATGCCCATACTTCAGAATGATGTATCCCTCATCTTTAAGAAAAAGAGATTGAATGTGGGCATTTTTGAATTAAAATTGGCACATTTTTATGTCCAGAAGGCAAATAAATGTATGAGGCATATTAAAGTCAACTTGTAATACAAGTCTCAGCTCTAATGAGAATCATGTTGGAGATCTTTACATGTTGGAGTATTTGATATTAGTATAAATGCAGGAGTCATCAGTAAATGTTGTAGATATACTAGATATCCATCACATTACTGAAGTACCAGGCAGTTTGTGGACTTGACCTTTTTCACCACTGTGGAATTGCAGATTGTACATGCATTTATTCAATCCAATTTTAGGCCCAAAGCAGAGTATTTCATTTATTGCATTATCTCATTAATGAGCCCAATCCATGCATAATAGTGATGAAGTATTGTTGCATCTGATTGGTTCAACTTATTACTACTTTGGAAACTGTCCACCCCTTAAGTTAATAATTCTCTTTGGTCTAGTTTAGTAATCTTGGTGAATAGACCTAAATCATTTTCTTATGGGCAAGAGCTGCACTGTTTTATTATTGAAATTCAGTGCAGTTAGAAATTAAGTTTCTTCCCTTTAAAATACTTGTCTTCTGTGTAAACATGGGAAGTAACCCTTTGCAAAAAAGTATGCAAATCAGACAATATTTTTTTAATAAAATACATGATGCACAAATTTCAATTAAATGATTTATAAAAATTAGTAAAATAATGCTGCACCTGAGAGATTAAAATGAATAATGTGTTGTTGTTGTTGTTGGGCTTAACGTCATTTTTCAGCACAAGATAGGCTATTCATGGCGGCCAGTATTAATGGTGGAGGAAGAAACCGGGAAACCACCGGAAAGAACCACTGACCCACGAGAAGCTACTGGCAAGCTTTCTCACATATCCACATTCACTGAATCCTAGACTCAAACCCACGCAGACAGAGGTGAGATGGCAGTGATCCGTAACAGACAGCGCTTTAAACCACTCGAGGCCCCTAAATAATTTGTAAATAATTTGTCATTTTTAAATGAAGAAAAGTGTAAACATATGTACATCTGTACATGTTAATAAAATTCAACACAGAAATTAGTTCTTTAATTGCTGCAATATGATCTCTTTTTACCTTCAAAATATTTGTCTTCTATCTAAAGAAAGCAGGAAAAGTAAACCATATCAAAAGATTATGCAAACCAGATAATACAGTTTTTCTTTTGATTTGAATGATGTAAAAAGTTCAATAATATAGTTTTAAAAAAAATGAGCAGATTATTTCACCTTAAGGATTAAAATAAATAATACTTTGATTTTGAACTGAAGAACAAATATAAAATAGAAATGTTGTTAGAGAAAATGTACCATTGCTTGTTTGCATAAACTAGGTGCTCTGTTGTAATTAAGGATGTCAGATAATTTCTTTACAAACTTACAGACATTTGTTTGCATGTAATTGCTTTTGTTTTATCTAATAATGATTTTGCTTCATTAAAAATGTATTTGTTTGGGGTAAAATCCACATCTTAAGTTTTTAGATTTATTTGCTTATAATTATTTGTAAAATTTTGCTATGTATAAAATTCTTATGTATTTGCAAGCAAGTTTGATATATTTGAGGAATAGATGTGACTATTTATAGTCACATCATTAAGTGCCAGAAACATTTTGCTATTTTTTGCTATCACATGTATTGTGCATTATTTTAAATGTTTAGTGCCGTTAAATTTTTTAAACAAGCTTAGTTTGTATTTTTAACTTTTAATAGAAAAGGGTATCCCCATATGTTTTCTTTTGAAACACCTTCAGATTTAATGACCAGCATTAAAGAAACCATGGCCTTAACAGAAAACAACATAAACAAGTGAATTGTAATTTCTGTTAATGTAAAAGTCATGTGGCTCTGTATGCCTTGAAATACGCTGTAGTCGGTTAATAACACTTTTAAAATATCTTGGATAACATTGATTATGAACAATAGATTATGCATATAATTATATCTTTTTTTTTTTAGAAAGCAAGACATAATATTCCTCAGATTTCTTGGTATTCTAATCTTTGTGATAATTTAAGCTTTAGTTCAGGTGTTGCAGTTCAGTATGTAAATGTACTTTTAAAAATGACATACAAGGCAGACAAGGACTTATTTATTATTATTTACGATATAGGCAGACAAGGACTTATTTATTATTAATTATAATATAGGCAGGCAAGGACTTATATATTATTATTTACCACTCTGGTGGCCTAGTGGTTAGAGTGTCCGCCTCTGATGCGAAAGGTCGTGGGTTCGATTCCTGGTCAAGTCATACCAAAGACTTAACAAAAATGGTACAAACAGCTACCTCGCTTGACACTCAGCATTAAAAGGTTAATGTTAGGACTGGTCGGCCATGGTGTCAGGATAATGTGACTGGGTGGGACATCATGCTACATGTCTGCGGCATGATGCCCCAGTGCTAGACATCACTATAATCTGTCACACTGCAGACATCATAGTGATATGACTGAAAAATTGTTAAAGCTACATTAAAAATCATAATCACATCACATATTTATTATTATTTATAATATAGGCAGACAAGGACTTGTTTATTATTATTTGTGATATTGGCAGACAAGGACTTCTTATTGTTTATGATAATGATGGTTTAATCTAGTATTTGATTCTTTACAAATTGTTGACAATTTTATTACTAATTTGGAAAAATATCACATTTTTTGTATATTCAGTTTCTTAAATTGCATGTATTATTATAAAGTGTCCAATTTTTTGTAAGCTAAAATGTTCTGTACAATAGAATGCATAATGAAATAAACATTCATAGAAGAGCTTATGAGATGGCCCCTGATTAGATCTTAATACTATTTAAATCTTTGCTCATAGAAGAGCTTATTAGATGGCCCCTAATTAGATCTTAATACTATTTAAATCTTTGCTCATAGAAGAGCTTATGAGATGGCCTTTTGTTCATCATCCTTTTTCTGATGTCCATTCATCTATTTAGTGCAAGCTTGTTAGTGCTACTACTCCTAAACTTCTTGGAGGATTGCCATGAAGCTGTATATATGCATTCCTCTCAAGGTTTAGATGGTCCTGCTCAGACATCTAATATGACCAGCACAGCAGCCATCTTGAAAATTATATTATCTCTGCACATTTTCAGTGGATGTTCATATCATCAGGGGGTTATAATAACTGAAAGACTTGTTATAAGGTCTAGTTGGTTGTAAATAAAAGTGATATCAGTCATACTGATATAGTTTTCAACAACTTTCTTTTGATGTCTACTTGGTTCTAGTGGTTACACATACCTCCAGTATGGCTACTACAGTCACCATTTTGAAAATCTTAGTTTTGCTTCTCCGTCTGAATTTAGAAGTTCATATCAGCATGTAGTTTTCACTGAAAACTTCTTATGGTGTGTTGTTTGTCTTAAATCATGCTGATAAAATTATGGTAGCCATCTTGAAAATCTTATTGCTGCTCCTACTAGATAGAAGCAAGATCAACATTGGGTTTTCATCAGAATACTTTTTTACCAGAAGTCTTATGAAGTTAAAATTGGAACTATATAAATATGGTGCCCATCGAATATGGCCACCATGGCAGCCATCATAAGAATCTTCTTGTTGCTGCTACTCATAACTGGAAAGTGATATTGATATGGGGTTTTCACCTGAAGACCAATAACGATATCAAGTTGGTCATGAATGAAAATGAAGTCAATCTGATTTCAAATATGGCTACTGCAATAAGCATTGAAAATCTTGTCACTAATATTACTGAATGGATGGACATATCAACATGGGATTTTCATCAACTGTCTTTTGTGTTCTAAATGAAAATGGTGCTGATATTTTATTCAATATGGTTGCCACATTTTTTATTTTAAAAAAAAATCAGTAAAGATATAGAGATGGTTTATCAACACTTGTTTGCTAAAGAAAAAAAAGAATTGGTCTTGTTTTGAATTACCATAAATTGTTTTTGAACAGTAAAGTATTAATCCCTTTCTTGTTTTACTTTATCTGGCCTTAAGGCTAAGTGAGCCCTTTCAAAGGAATAATATTTGAAAAAGGCAGAATTTTGCATGTATTTATTTTTACCCAAAGAAACCTCACAAGGCCACATGTAATCTAGAAAAAAAGAATCTTGTTTGGTGGTGTGTAGTGTATTTCCCAGCTACTTTGAATCCCAGCTTGGTAGTATACTACTAAATACCACTCCAGGAACCAGATTAATCAACAAAACAAAAAGCAGTGATGTAATACACAGATATTTTCGCATACACATGATGGTTGTTGAAGCCAGTTGGAATGATCTTTCGCATGTTGGACATTTTGAAAATAAATGTTATTTATACAGACTAATGAACAACTCCATTAGAAAAAACATGTTATTAACAATTATTTTTGACATGATTGTAAAACAAGGATGCAGTCATTAAGCAACTCAGTTCCCTACTCCCCTTACTCCACCATCACCCCCACCCCACCTGCAGTTTTCTCGATGTATAAGCAGATTCTTTAAGTCTTTGGAGATCCCTCAGTAACTTACACCCTCTCATAGTGTGATCTATGTTTGTGGACCCTATTATGTGTGAGTTATCAAGGGAGAGGTGTAGTTATGTGGAATAATGGTTCCTACTGTTCCAAAATCAACAGGTATGCCTCTTTCCTTTCAAATTTTATTGCAATATATTTTTCCAGATTATAGCGATCTTTAAGAAATCTTTCAAACCATCCAGTCTAGGCATACCCCTTTTTGTGTTACATATATAGATGTAGTATATGCCTAAAACAGTTTTTGCACTTGGCAGTCTCTTTATTCACTCTTTTTTGAATCCAAAGGATTACTTCATTGCACAGCTTGATAATCATATTATATTCTCAAAACAAATTCAGTATTTTTTCCTGAGCATTTTTTTTAAAAAACATATCAGTACTGGACAATTATATTTTATACAAAAAAGAATTAATTGGTAAAATTCAATCAGTAGCATGAAATTAAAACCATTGCAGTTTTGAGTTTGTTCTTATTTTAAACACTTTAGTATATGTATCAGACTATATGCCCGTATTCAGATTAAAAATTTCATTCCATCTATTTCACTAGTTGGTTTCACACCTTTGACCAATTTTCTCTGAGGTAGAAAAATTATATGAATCCATGTTATTTTCAAAGCTAATATAAATTTATCAATATCTGTTATTACCAAGCCACCTTTAGAAAAGTTTGAATCATAATCTCTTTTATCTTGTTCACTTTTGATTTCTATTTAAAGGTGGAAATAATTCATGTAATTCTCTGATAAAATTTTGCAGATGATTTGGTAATGAGATGAACAGATGATTAAGCTTTGGAACAATTAATGTTTTCAGAACTGTATTTTACCAAGTGGTGTTAAGGATCACTTTTCCCAATGTTTTAAACATGTTTTAATAATTTGTTTTATTTTTTAAATTCACTTTTACCATTTTATCCAAATCCACCAAAAACTTTATGCCCAGTGATTTAAATTCAATCGCCTATTGTAAATTTAACCTGTGATGAAATGTTTCCCCACTGTACTTCTTGCTTCCTTTTGTTTTAGCAATGTTCAGTTTCAGTCCTGAAATCCTCACAAAGAAGCTCAGTATTTCAGTATAGAATTCCTAGGATTTGAAAGAGTCATGAAGAATTAAAGTTAGTCATCTGCAAACTGTGACAATAAATATCTAGTTGCCTTTAACTTGATACCTTTAATTGTTTTTATTATTTTTTAATAGTATAGACAATATTTCTGCACCAATAAGAAGAGATAAGGGGATATTGGATCACCTACAGACAACCTCTAGAAATTTTGAAACATTCTGAAAGAAAGCCATTTTGTGAAACTGCCAATGATGATATTGCAATAAAAAGTTTTAACCCAGTGCCTTATACTTGTTACAAAATTTAAAAAAGAACATTATAAATAAATTTCCATGAAAAAAAATCAAATGCTTTTTCAAAATCAATCAATAGTAATATACCTGGAATTGTAACTCTTCTGTAATATGCATATCATATACAATCCTTGTATTTTCTCCATTGTATCTTCCTTTTACAAAACCAGTTTGATCCTCATATTATTTCATTCAGTACTGACTTAATTCTTTTGGCAATACATTCTGATGCTAATTTGTATACAATGATAAGTAGAGAAATTAGATTCCAGTTCATCCGGGACTGTTTAAGTTTATCCTCTTTGGGTATGCAAGTTATAAACCCTGGTCTCAAAAACAATTGAAAATGATCCAGTTTTGTATGCTTCGTTGATTGTACTTACTACAAATACCCAAATGTCAATCCAAAAGACTTTTAAAATTTCAGCTGCGAAACCATCTGATCCCAGACTTGTGCTATTTTTCATACTTTTTATACAACCTAATACTTGGGTAACTTTGCCTTCTAATTTTAGAGATTGGCTTTGGTTAAATCTAGGAATTTTATAGTTTTTGAGAAGGTCCTCTAATTTGTCCATATCTTCTACCTCTTTTTTGTCATTATATGGCTTATTATAATACTCTTTCCCCTAGAATATCAAATTGACCAACAATTTCATTTTCATCTATAATTAATTCTGAGATTGTTTTATTCACATAGTTTCTGTTTTGTTAAATAACAAAATCATACAATGCAGAATGCGCAAGTGCCTCACATGCAATATGCTTTTCAGCTAATATACTCTCTCTCTCATAAAACTAGTATATCAGTATCCAATTTTGTGATTATGGATTAATATAAGGGAGAATTTTATGGAATTGATAATAAAATATGAATATGATAATAAAATAAAGTACTGGTATAATGTAAGCCTCCCCATAGATATATAAATTGTATTGGTTACTGATGTTCTGAAAATTTTGGTTTCATTATTAATTATAAACTAGAAACATCTGGTTATTACAAGTGTGAAATAGGTTTTGATGGCTTATGCATATTTGTTATTAATTATTAACAATGAAGTAATGCATGAATTGTTATGTGACAATTCTGGCAGGATTTCAACAAACAAACCTGTTTTGAACATGTACATACACAAAACATTTAAAATGAAAACAAAAATAGTTGTTGGAGGTAATCAGCCATACTTAATGTAAAAAAATACTGACATGACTGAAAAAGTGTTACAAAATAAAAAGATTGACACATACTATCACAGACTATTGTGCATAATGTGTGCAAAAGCAGAATTTTAGATGTATTATTTTTTGGGCAGTCTGCTTGATAGGGTGTTGTTAGCCATAATATCTCTAATCCATGAAAATAGGTGCCATAATG